TGCACTCTCGTTCGATGATACGTCCTCGTCGTTTCTCGAATTCTCATCTTCGAGCTTTCCTGATTTTCGAAAATAATTCGGAATTATTTCCTTCGATTTCTCATTTTCTTCCGTCTTAGTCTCCTCGGGGTCATATACATCCGACTTCTTTGGCTCGGCGTATCCTTTGTTCCGTTCTTCGTCGATCACTTCAGAAGCAACACCCTCGCCATCCACTCGAACATCGAATCTTCTAATCCCTTCGTCTTTCGCATCCCCGATCTGTTCGGCCCGAATTCCAGCACCTTCGTGGACCTCACTTTTACCGATGAGAGCAACGTCATTTCTTCTCCGCTTCTTCACCACACCAGCTTCCTCGTCTTCTTGCTTTAACACCTCGCTACCCCTGATACTCGCTCCGACCACATTCGTCGCGTCTATCTTCTTTTCCTCCTCGTCCCCTCTTTTCCCAACGGGTACCTGCTGATCAGATGCTAAATCGTCCTCCTGATAGCCGCTTCTTACTTTATCCACCGACTCCGCAACTTTCTCGTCGATTTTCTTCGAGTCCTCCGACGCTTCCTCTTGATTTCCCACTTCGAGGTCCTTGTAATCCACAAGTTTTCCTTGCACTCGTTCCAGCGGATCGTCGACTTCGATCTTCTCAGAATTTACATCGTCGACGTTACCGTTCTTTTCATCTGTCGATAACTTGGCCGCCGGCTGGTCCAGGTTCTCCTCATCGCGTGGCACACTGCGTGGTTGACCAGCGTGAAGAAGGAACAGAAGAAACAGCAGGCAGAAGAAAGGTCGAGGGAAGAGATGGAAGGTACTCGTTAGCTGTGGGCGTCGCGAGTCGAGTGCTCTCATGGTCGCGGTCGAGAGGCGAATGTCTCGGCCACTTGTGAGCCGGTCTATGGTCAGCCATGGCAGAGGTATGGTAATACATATACCATCGCCCGGGCACAGCGAACGAAGATGCTCGTGAGAGTGTACGTACAGAATCAACCAACGAGACGCAAGGATTCGCGAGACTGTGTGGATAGGCAACAGCCGGGAATTTCCATTTTTATGTTGCCCCTCTACGAGCCCCCCGGGGTTGCGAGGGAATCGAGTTCGCGGTCTAACGGGTGTAGATGCATTTACCTTTGCGCTTCTTACGATCGTTTCGTCGGAACAAAGATTTACGGAATCGTTTCATTGAACGATTCTACAGCGTTCCTCTCCGAGAAACGAAGGATATTTCCAGTTAATTGTTGCAACAATGCCGAGATTTTCAGTTTCATTTTCTTAGGCAGCGGATAAAATCCAGTCATAGAGGTTCGTTAAAGAGGATCCAGGGTCTAGTGTCCCTTCTCTTTTATGGCTCAACATTCAACTTCGCGAAAGCAAAGAGTCAACTATACCGGTTGCCGTGCACTGCTCTGTCCACCTCTATTTCTTCTTTGCAGCCAGAGCGGTAATGAGCCATTTAACCTTGAGGCAGTGGTGCTTGGAAAATAACGTGGTATGCTTCCCTGCGTGAGATCTATCACGGACATCGCGCGAAAGATTCTGCTCTCGGTCACTTGCCTCTCATCTTTAGGTCTCTGCTATGTTGACCTACGACGTTCCGTATAGATCTCTGCTTTCTCGAAGATTCACGTACGAGTCAACTATCGTGCGTTAGACGAGTGGAAAAAGCGGTCATCTTTTAGACTGGACGGAACACCGAAGAACGGAATTCCGATGGAATCCTTACTTGCAAAACTTACTTCGTAAAACAAAAATGACTAACCTTCGTTGGTTGAAAGAATGCCGTGTTGTGTTTTCTCTCTTTTCCCGATGATCCTTATCGTATTCTTAAAATATCCGCGCTAAGTGTAGCCTTTAAAACTTTGCTACGATGGGAGCACAACATTCGAGCGAAGAGAAGGAGGAACAAAAAGACAGCGAGGGAAGAAGTCGTCGTGGAGGCTGGAGGATGCAACTGGAATACAGTCGAAGCCGGGTTTCAAGTTGATCTTTAATACGGCCTTTCTGGTTCTGGTGCAAGGGGTTGGATTTTTAGTCCTTGAACGAATCGAGACCAGAAGGGACGGCCATGGAGAAAGAGGTGTACCCAGCAACAGGATACGGGAGGGTAAAGAATTTTTACGACGAGCATTATTTTCCAACATGGCCTCCGTTTCCTTCTTCGGCTCTTCTTCTCTCTTTTCTTCCATGCCGGATTCACTGCGCAAAGTCGATGCGGTAAACCTGTATTGCCTTTCTTCCTTTTATCCATCTAGTGGCTGTCCGCTCTTAAGGTGTATTCACAACGCGTTAACTCATTTTACTAGTAATAACCGTGTCTACTAGTACAAATCCGGATCATGTAAATAGTTGCTTTCGCTCGTTTACTCTTACCTCTTTTCTCTTCGGAAAGTTTCACGCTTGCTAGTTCGATGTTATGTCACCCGATTATTCGTGGGATTCCATGCGGACTGGAACCCCGTAATCCATCTACCGGGTTGCCTACCGATCTTTCCGTGTTTAAGTAATCGTGTAACGAAACATTCACGGGTCATCATGCGGTTACGACTCTGGCAAAGTCATTATCGCCTGTAATTTCGAGAAAATTATAGACCACGTTTAGTACGTTCTTCGCTGCAAGAACAGCTACTTGGCTGCATCAAATTAACAGGGCGTGAAGGGACTGAAGATGTTACAGACGAAAGACTAGCTCCCACGACTATCCTTTCTTTATTTCCCGTGCTTCGGAAATTTCTGCTGAAGGAAATCATCCTTTTTCGGGACTGAACGCAGGGATCACGACGTATCGACGATAATCACAATGTTGCAAAGACACGACGATCCTCTAACTACCGATTTCCGCGGTCAGACGGTCTCATTCGAGAAGGGAATGTACACGAATGATATAGTGACCGTAACAGTGATATAGAAAGTGGGACATGTTGCACTCTCGATGAAGGAATAAATTTTAAACGAATTTCAAGAAGACTCTTAATCACCGATTGCCATTCTTCGAAATCGTTCGAAGAAACTTTGAAAAGGAGATAGGCGATACGGAATTCGCGAGCAAGAGGATGAGAAATGCGGCAACAAGTGCTAGTAGCAAATGTAACCAGGCTGTAATAGAATCTCGAATGGAATACGTTCTAACAGCGTATTCTAAAAGTGTTTCAAGCACGGCGCGTCCACGAAATTGTCGGCGAGGAGGAAATTCAAGGCGCTGCGCAGATCTACCGCGCACACGTAGGCTGATCCTCTTTTGAGTTCGAACGGCGTCGTGCTCGTTCGTCCGAATCATACGGTGGCTCGTGCGAGCTCGATTAACACGCTGTAATTCGTGGTTCCTGCTTGTGTCTCGCGTTCAATGGTCAAATAACGATCAAACCTTGGAAAATTCTTCCCCGAAACGAATCCCCGGTGTCGATGAGGAAAATCACGTGATCGTAACCGGTTCAATGATGCGCCCGATTGGTTGGACGCTTGCGTGTGCATTGCTCGTGACTACTTTTCCAAAAAGTGCAATCCCGTCGGGCGTCAAGAGTGATGATGGTGTCTCTGCAGGTAACCAACGTGAAGTTGTACGCGCCAAAGTCACCAAACTGCTGCCGATTTCCAAGGACACGACACCACCGGATCCCGATATACAGCAGCTCAGAAAATTCCTCGACGACTTGTTGTTCGACGGTGGAAACGGTGTTCAAGGTACGTTATAAATTCACATTTTCGAAATACGCGACAGTTTATTACTTTCGAGGAGATAAATGCAGATCGGGTCGAATCGAAGTGGCAGAGTACTGATGAAATTTTAAATATCTAGAAAAGACGAGCAGACAGGCACGAACGTTTGGCCACAAACGAATTCAGCTAATGTTGATGCCGATGATGTACAAAATGGGAGTGATAACGACAATGCTGACTGTATTGACAGTGATTTCACTGAAGGGACTACTCATTGGTAAGTACGAATTATTAGCTAGGAAGCGTACGAAGAAATAACGGTTCAGCTATTGTTCTGAACGCTGTGTGCATACGAAATCAGGAGATATCGTCGACCGTATTCGTCGATAAGGACTCTTTTAAACGAGTTTCCCTGACTATAATTCAGTTCCTTTCTTATTTCGCGTACCAAAATTTGCCACGCTCTCTGATTGTGAACTTCGTTTCAGGTGCCATACTGCTGATGCTGAAACTCGGCACGTTAATAGCCAAGTTTTCCTCTGGTTGGCAGCACAATGCACAAGGCGCTCAACCGATCCACGTGCACGTCCACAACAGCCTACCGACTGCCCATAACCAAGCGTACAGTGGCTGGATGCCACCATCCAGTATGGACGACGGAGGGGAACATTACTACTACAAAGGATGATCGAGAATTCTTCGACAATCTCCTGCTTTCGAAAACTGTTTCTTCGATTGTCACAATTGGAACTAGGCTATCGCGTAACATTCGCAAAGGTTCATCGTTCCTTTCTCTGTATCTGCACCTCGACGAGTGCAACAAGAGCAGAACGATCGTGTTACGATTTTCGTTCGAGCATCGGCGATACAGCGAACCGAAATTCCTTTCTCGTATACCAAAGGAACTGTTAGAATTTCGTTGAAGCATTCAGGGATAAGACTGGTATCTCCCGTTGCATCGTGGACTGCTATAATCGACCAAATCGAGAAACCAAAATTGTAAACTCTTACGTTTAAGACACAACCTCACGCATACCTCAAGCTAGCGATAATGTTAATTTATTTTGTAAAGAAATTGCGTCTCCTCTTGCGTTTCTATTTATTCATCGAACCATATGTATCACGAGTAGAATGTACTTATTAAATTTTTTTTATCAACTTTATTCTCTCTTCGCCATTCGTCTTGTCTTGTTCGTTCGGGATCGAGCACAACTGCGAATATTCTAACATCGGAACAGTCGAGCGATCTTTCGTTTAACGATCGAGAAACGAAGTGAAATTTTCCGCTTAAACCACGCGTGTCGGTAACCAACCGCGTGTGTATTACACCTATGATATGAATCGTGCCGACAGACTGTAGAGACCCAGTTTCCTGGTTTTAGTGGGGTAAGCAGACAGCAAAAAGGAAAATGTCTGGTCTCCGCTTACTAGGATTACCTAGCAGTCTCTTCACCGATCGAATGCAAGCAGGACGCGTTCCACACGTCGGTTATGAAATACTTGTACAAAAGCTGGTCATTCTTTCCGTAGCGAGGTACCGTAAAATTGGGCAAATTTTTCAGTCGCCCTCGCAGCCGATCTAATTTAACTCGGTGACCGGAAGTGAGAAAAAGCTAGCAATTAATGCGTAACGTTACATGTTACACGCGATCTAGTAGGCAACGGTGACCGACATCGAGATTTCCTATTCTTCCTGGTGGTTAAAATTGAGAGAATGATGGAAGGGAAGGTAAGGAACGTACGAGGAATTAATTAGTGACAATTAGAAAGGCCGACGAGAACTAGGATGTTTACATGTTCGTATTTACATTTAAGAATTAACTTTCTAAGATACATAGTCATGAATAGACTAGAGGTAATTTTTTGGTGTTTGTGCATCACGGTTGTGTTTCAAAATTCTAACGGTGCCGAACACGTTTCAAAGTATTTCAATGGGACTTTACGGGTCGACATTGCGCGAGGTATTGCAATGCACATCGCTAACAACGAAGCAAGTATCACGTTGAGCATGTCGTCTTTACTCAAAGGTAAGTAAACAGTTTCGAAAATCTGTGTTATTTACTCACGTACGTTGCGATTCTTTTTTCAAGACAATGGCGTAGAAGAACGAAGCACTGGCAGGCTAAAATTCAAGAAAGGTATCCTCAAAAGAATCGGAATGGTGATGATGATGGCTCCACTGCTGCTGCAGGTTCAAACTGTTATCATATTTTATAGTTACGAGCATTCGGCAACTCGATATCTGTAACGAGATCTTGAATTGCAGTTAGCATGGCTACCGGGTACCCTCGCATCCATCAAAATGAGCTTGCTCCGAAGTATCTTCGTAGGAAAAATCGCGTTGGCTGTGATGCTCTACAATGCGCTGAGGAATTCTCAGAAATCGGAAGTGGTAGTGATCCATAAACCTGAATATCACGAGCACTATTATCACGCTTATCACGGTCACGGTGACGAAGATGGCGACTGGTGGGGAAGAAGTATGAAACGGCACTTTACAAAATAGAACACCTTCGATTACTTAACGAAATAAATCGTACTTACGATAATTATTATTCCAACGAAACTCTATAACCGTAATACACGATAATCGTTATGAGACACCATTTGCATGAAAATATACAGTTAATCAAGGTTATCACGAATTTTCATGCGATCGTATGGTACTCGATCGACTATAAAATTAAAATTAATTCGGTTCTCGGTGGAATGTCCGGTGTAGCGGCCAACAAGAACAAGATATTCCGACTGACCCACTTCGGACCCAACGTAACGGCATTTTGGTCCAGATTCTGAAACGATCAGCTCAGACCACGTACCAGTTTTCCCTTTTCTCTGTCGTTAAATTCAACATCGAAATCGAAATTAAAATAATACCGATCGATTTCATCGGTGACGAGAGCCTAAGTGCGACATGGCGACGCATAGTCATTTTCAAAATCATATCGCCGTTTACACGATGCACACGAACGTCACGAGCCTATTACGAGCTCTCTCACGTCCACGATAAAACGGTGGTCACGATTTTTGAATGCAAAAATTGCACCAGAATAACGTTCCACTTTTTACGAAACGAGCAAACGTAACGTTTCGCGCCATGCCTCGATCGTTAGAGAAGGATATAGATCAATGTTAGCGGCACGTAACGAAAGTCCTGTCACTGTCAAATTTATTTTCCAAGGCCTCGATATTCGCGGTGCGTATACGTGCCAGAAACCCACCTTCCGTTCGTACATCGTATAGTTGGTATGCCAGCGCCATCGATCCCGTATCGACAGCCTGCCATACGAATCGTAGAACTATACCGTTTTCTAAACTACAAAATGCACGATGCACGACGCATACGTGGCAAATCGGAATCGAACCCGGATTAATCTCGGTATGCCTACAAGCTTAGATCACCGCCGTTCGACGTGAAAGCATTTGACTTTTTCAAAAGCCCCTGTGCCAATTTGGATAAGTGTGTTTAGCGAGCGCCATTAGAAAGATCCAAGCCCTCCTCGAGGATACCGCGCGTATTTACCTTACCCACAAAGATGTTTACCTTTGACGTTAGAAATCTATCCGAGTTTATTCATAGCGTAAAATGAAATTTATTTCCGTTCCTCGCTTATTAATTTAATTGCTACCTTCGCTTAGGTTCGTCTTCGGTGAAGTAATCGTAAATGAGCTGAAAGAAGAAGTCAAGCGTCGATTCCTTTGTTAGATGGACCTATACGTTCGCTGTCGAAGTTGATGTATTGTTATTTTATCGCGATACGCGATGTATAGACGCGTAACAACGGGAAGCCATGGAAAGTTAGGTAATAACCGAGGAAACAATAGACGCAGGATGCACTTGCTAAGAAATTTGGAGTACAGTTATTGCGGAAAGACGGGATACACCGCCTTCGCGACGTAGACGTTTCTCGAGGAATACTTTTACGACTTCGTGTCTTCGCGCTAAATAGTTGTTTCTTCGATCAGCCATTAGAGATTTGCAACTGTTGTCTGTTGTCGTGTAATTATTCAAGTACACGAAGCTCGTGAAAGCGAGCGACGAGGATACTTGCGCGCTTCCATAGATTTTTCCCGATGAGTGAATTCCATGATTTATTCCTCTCCGTCGACAATTCCTCTGATAAATCGACGAAGAGAATTTTTTCTCTCGCATAGTTGCATCATCCTCGAAGACTCGAGAGGATTCGCTCGTCTTCTTCATTCAACTGTGCGATCGCGTAGCTGCTGCAGCGCTGTGGAAATGTTCTCCACGGTAATAATCCCTTGTGCATGAATTTTACACGCGGAGGACGTTGGTCGCGAAATAGTCGAATAACGTGTTTTTGACGATTTCAGAGAACCACTTCCAAAATCCTGTGCTTTCTCTGTGCCATTTTCCTCTGCAATTTCGCGACGTCGAACGAAACAAACGACGAGGCTAGACCTTACGAGTTTTCGTTCAACATTGTCGACTTTCAACATAGATACGAAAAGAAAGGTACGTGAAAAACATAGAAAATTAAAATGAGAAACTCGAGAGAAACTTGTTAAGGAAGTATGTTAAATTGACAAGATACCGACGGAATTATCACTGGGGAATATGGATTCATAACTGCGGATGGTGTGTACCACGAAACAGGATATGCGACGGATAAAAATGGCGATTTCCTCATTACCAGAATGGCCTATAGAAGAATCAAAAGTTGTAAGTTTACAAACTGTTACGTTGCGCTAGAAGAGATATTAATTTCTTTGTAATTCAAGTGAAGGATGCGCAGGAGATATTCAAGGACAGGCCGGAAGTTGCAAAGAAGCTGGTAGAGGCTGTAGCGGCAAGGGCTTGCAGCTCATGCAAAGTCGCAGCGAAAACAGAGAAATCCGAGATTACTTCACAGATCACTCCGACGGTAACGCCATCTATTTCCCAACGACAGCTGAATCCTTTACTGCAGAAGATGACGAAGTCGTCGAACGAGAAGAAGGACGGTAAAGAAGAAACTTACCCGTTAATTCCAACTAGTCGATCTACCTTTTCAGAGTTCAACGACTTATTTTACAGACGAGTTGGTTCAAGAAAGAAACAAAATTCCTCTGAACCCGAAGGACTTGAGGTCTAACGAGAGACAAGGGAAGAGTCTAACTGTGGGGATCGTGAGAAATATGGTGGACTCAGGGAAGAATTTCATAACGAATAAGCACGCTGCTGATCCAATTGTCGAAGATAGGAACATGGACGATCGTGCGTTGGAAAAAATGGCGAATGATCTTTACTATCGATTCAATTACACGATAACCTCGCATGGGCATCAAGAAGACGGATATAGGAGCGGTAGAAAGGATGGCAGTTATCGGTCGCAAAGCGACGACGGTGTTGACACCCGGGTGAAATATCTTTCGAACGAATTCGGTCATCAGCCTAACGTCTCGTTTGTCGCTAATGTCAACGAAGCGAACGAAACCGAGCGACTCAAGGGCTACTCCTTCCGCTGGTACTGGTCGTGAGGAATCATCGTTATTCCTCTGACATTTTACGATTAATAAATAACGTGTAACCGTTGATATGAAATAAAAGAACGAATTTAATAAGGTTCAAACACATTGGTTCCTTTATGCCGGAATCTTATTATAATATCTAATTATCGTATGTCGAGTATAAAATTTTTCACATCAGAGAAGGATGAGGTTCACGGTGATTTATCCAGGCAATTATTCATAATTTGCTGTGACTGCTTTTCTATTCTGTCGATTACATGCTTCCGAATGTGGAACGTTTCAATTATGCTAATTGACCAAAACAAATAGTAACGTTTCGTTGAATGCCAATTATGGAAAAGTTTTATTAATTTAGTTGGATTTGGATTAAAACGACACCGGTTATTATGGAAATCCACCGTTCCATTTATATAATAAATGTATTTTATTTTAATCATTATTAAGCCCATGAAGTTTCGAAAGCAACGATTTCACTACGATTTCGTGCCTTCTTCGTTCTTTAAATAACGATAAAGATGACCAGAATTAGGTTGTATTAGCATCCCAACGTTGTACAAGCGGAATTTCTGTCATCGGTCCACGTACGTGACTCACACGCGTGCCAAGTTACACGCATACTGTTTTAAATCCATTACGCTTTTCAACAACAAGGAAAAATCGCTGACATGCTATTAAAAATTCATTTTCACCATCGGGCAGGCAGCAGACCTCAATTGTTCGGTCTTTTTCATGGTTGCGCTTCTAGAGTCTTCAAATTCTGAAATTTTCAATTTCCCGCCTTTCGAATTTTCGAATTCGATCAACCGTGAAGACTGAATTACCAAGGAACAAAATTAAAAATACCATCGCTGAGTAAAAGACAAGCGATAAGTATACGTTTGGAATAGCAAAGAAACGCGATTAAATTATACGTGTACGAACGATAGCGAGAAATGCACACGCTCGGCGTTTTATCAGAGACTCATCTCTGTTTCTAGTTATACAGATATCCGGGAAAAATCTTTCCCATTCACAGGAGCGCCTCGGCCCCGCGAGGTGGTCAGAATTCCTTAAGGAGAACCAAACGCGGCTCGATTTCAGCGATGTGTGCCCACGAAAACTATCGCAGTGGGGGGATGCCGGTCGGGTCTCACTTGAAACAGGACCAACTTGATTGGCGGAAGTCCAGAAGGAAGGGGTTACACTCTCATATATGTTCGACCACGAACCTTCCACAACCACTTCGTGCCCGTGACACGCGGTCCAAGGATATAAAAACCAGAAGGTCGAGCACGAATTAAGGAAAAACACAGAGGAGGGTGAAGGACAGGAAGCAGATGACCTGTGATTTCGCGTAGTGGAAGTGTCTTTGATCGATTTTCGTCTCATCTCTTCATCGCCATGAGGATATCAGTGTCTACCTTCTTACTTCTGGGACTCGCCCTCTACATTCAGGGTGAACCGATCGAAAGCAAAGAGGAGAACGGGAGTTTGCTGGACTGTGTGTTAGAGAGCAACTCGATAGGATGCCTGGGCACGAGGTTAGCCAGAAACATAGATCAAATCGAGATGCAAGTGACCGGAAAGAAGAGCGAAACACCAATGAGCATGGTTATCGAGCAGGCAGGCAATTTCGTGGCCGAGGTAATCGATGACGTCCAAAATCCCGGACGATCGGAGGAGGTTGCAGAAAGCGCAGATGCCGGAGAACAAGGTGAGAATTCCAAGATTTCGCAAAGTTTCGAATTAGGCCTCTCGAAACGGAACAAACGATGTGGGCCTGATCGGTGAACGAAGTGATAGCTGAAGCGCATCATGCGTCAATCGGCACGTGGGACGCATGGTAAAATCAACCGTGAACTTCTCTTCGCGTCTCTGCAGGAACACCGTTAAAAACGATCGGCCTACCAACCTTAAATTTACTCGACGACAGATTCTTCTCGTTATCTTTCACGAGATAAATACCTCGAAATTTCGCTGACATATTTCTTTCCTCTCTTCTCTGTTTTCTTCGCTAATCGTTCGTTTGGTGTACACGAGTCGACACGCTGAATGGTAGTACACCTGCTCGGAGTAGAAGTCGCGTGGCTCGCTTTTATGAATGGAACTTAGGAAAAATCCGCTTTGAAACGAGTCCAAAGAGCAGAAACAGAAGAGTCCAGTTCCTTGTCGTTCGAGTCCTTAAGTCTCGTGACGAACTGAGCGAACGGGACTAATTACATTTACACGGGACATTTAACGTTCGAAGAAGCACATTAACATGAGAACGTTAGAAGACGAGCCTTGTATTACCAAGCGAATACGTGTCTTTAGGTCAGCAGCAATCGCTTGAAATTCAACATCCGATGTGTCACCGACTTCTTCACTTGGTTTATACAATATTTAATGACCCGACTTAGGCAAATTTGCTCTAACGGTATTTCGCTCGTTATCTTCGTTATCTTTTCGAGCAAATCGCAGCTAGGAAATTGAACAATTTGACAGACATCAAAATAATCTTCCGGCTATTGAAGGAAGTATGATATCGTCGTTCTGCTCTTTTAATATGTTCGTTATGCGAAGTATTTTCTTTGAAAGACCGTGACTCATTTTTTTGAGAAAGTTAACCAAATGAAATTACATGGCCCGCAAGAGTTGAAAGTATCCAGGTCACTGGACTCGTTCATCCCAAATTATTCGTTACCTTAATTATTCTCATGTATCCAGCGTTCTATCAAAGGGGTTCCTCGTCTTCGTTAAACCTAACCGTCTCGGTGTAGAAGGTAGAAGTGAATGAAAGTATAGGCGAGAAAATTAGCGAGCAAATCCACGTTGCGAACACCTCGTTATACTTAACCTCGTCAACAATTTGCGGTGGTATGAATCGCGGCCATCGGAGTCAACCGAAGAGAGTGAGTTCGTGGTAAAGAACGAGTCAACTGTTTCCCTAGTTTCTGTGTCGATTCGCACGTTAATGCACTAACGTGTGGCAGGGAAGGGCAAGAAAAATCGGTGCCACGTCCTTTAGGGATCGTCTTTGCGATCGTAGCTGATGCTGTTATCGCTAACTTTGATACGCCCTCTATGTCGATGATTGATGTTCCACGATTTCGATTACGATACATGACCTGTTAGTGAGATTGGGAAACGTCTGTTTAAATCCCTAACGAAATTTGAATTGCAGTGGAAGGACGTGGTAAGAAATACGGAAGGAAGAAGAAGAAGCAGCTGCAGAAACTCCTTGGTTTGGCCATGCTGTTCAAAGCTAAACTGAGTCTCCTGCTTCAACTCATCTCGACGCATTTCCAACTCAAGTTCTTCGGCATCGCTATCCTCAGCTTGATCATCAACGCTACCAAGTTCTGGTTGGATTTAAAGAAATCTCATCCGTCCAAGGTTATCTACTACGAACACGCTCAGCATCAGCACCATTACGATCACGATGATTACGATCACGGCTACTGGGGACGATCCACCAACGATTCTCCTCAAGATCTCGCTTACGCTGCTCACACTCCAAAAAACTGATCGATGGTCTAACTAGGGAAGACCAATTTCTATCTTCGCGATGACAAGATAATAGCAGCGAGAATGATTCATAGCAAACACCTGACGCTGCGATTATTTTCTCTAAGCTCAGGTTTCTAGATAATCGTTAAAAAAATTGTTATTTATTTCGAACGCAACGTTAACTTGATGTTTATCGAAAATTAACACCAGCCGTGTAATCTATATTTAATCCTATATTTATACGAAATTATTTATTTTTTCTATTTATGTTTAAACAACCGCGTAGGCATACGTAATGTTACGAAAAATATTGCGTTTCATACTTCATGAACCTTCTTCCCAGTTTGCGATAAACGTATCGAGGAAAATCCCATTCTCGTACCAAAACCATTTTGCGTACCTGCTGTCACATATACTCCCACGCGCCATAGCTGCCAAATCTTGTTGATTTATCGTTAAATAACAATTGTAAGGATCGTACAAGCAATAAATTATTTTAGTTATATTCTACGACCCGGGAATCTTTCTATTGTCGAACAAAGAACACCAACGTGAAATATACAAATTCGTGGAGGATGTTACATTCCCGCGGCGAATCGTAGATCCTCGATTTATCGACGGTGAATAAGAAGCGTGCGCTGAACGCAGCCGAGAAAGCTTACTGAACCGACTTACGACCTTCTTTCTCCGTAGAGCGTGGACCAGCCTCAAGCGAATGAATACCTTTTGTATTCCTGGTCATCACGTGGAAGAAAATGCGACAGGAATTGTCAATAAGCACCGATACTTTCGGGCTGTTCACCTGGCCGTGATTGCGATCAACCGATAAACATTCGAGATTTCTTCCCCTCCAAAAAAGTCATCATTTTTTAGTTTTCCCCCTTGCCAACGTTACGGTACGCATGGAATATAAACAAATTCCTAAATATCTTCGATATCGTTACGTCCAACGATTTTTGAACAATCGGTAAGGAAGAGCGAATGCTAAATTTGATGATAATTTGACAGGACAATTATGTTCGGGAGATGTTACGAAAGGTCCTTGCTCAGGCCAGCAGGTGCATAAACGAATATACCAGGATAGACGTGTTTCGTGCCTGTCATGGTCAATGACCAGAAACGGGCAGGATTTCGTAACCGGCGAGGCCCCCGTGGAAACTCTTATGTATTCACATCCCGAAGAATCGGCGGTCGCGATGCGACCTTTAACGAAAGACGAGGCCCGCTTCGATTTGCCTTCGGTTTTCGACGTCTGGAACCTCTTTTCGGAGCTCTGATTGGACCGTGGCCAACAAGACCACCGTGTCGCATCGAAATCATCGGAATTCGTGAGAAGAGGCGCTGAAATATCCTTCCGCCGTTCATTTATAGAATTTCTTCGCGGACGAGCTACGTCGAACTTTTCTTAATCAGCTAACGAAATTCAATCTCACTTAGCGGCGGGGGCTATTTTCATTCCGTCACATTTGCATCCGTCCTTGGAGTCGCACGTCGTCAGGATATTCATAGAGAATTCGCCGCACCTGATTCCTCTCAAGATTACCCGTCCCTCGATGGAAGGATGTCCTTACCTTGTGCAATTCCAAAGGGCATATTAACGATTCTTTGTTCAACTTGGAAGAAGAACGGTCTCGCGTGTGTCGCGTCGCAAAATACGGTAAGGATCTTTGCGCAGTTTTCAGAGTTCGATGAGTCAAATCGTTTGATAATCGCCACGAAGATTCTTTCATCGAACGATGAATATTACGAGGGGCTGCTCGACGGAATTCGTGGTGACTGGACAGGGAGCGTATCACCCGGCACATCAGCGGGTAAATTTGCATCGGGCCTTCGAGGATGATGTGGACGTCTGGATGGTCATTGGCAGACCAAACGTGATGAAATTACTAATTTCTGCCTACCGAGAATTGGCCATTCATACAATATTCAAGATCCTTACGCGCAGGTCACTATATAACACCCTTCTACGGTTTGGATCACCAGTCTTCTCAAGATCCTCGATACCTTCTATTCGACAGCTCATACAGATTCGACGAAACTTTCCATTCATCATGATCCGACAGACTTATCTAATCGTCCTACTCTCTGTTATCTTTGCGATTGTTTGGAGTCTCCCTCAACAGCCTAAATCTAGGAGGCCCGTCCCGGAATTCAAGGTGCGTCGCATTTTAGTTTACGCGAAAGGTACACGATACTCTTGGAACGAATATATATCGTGTTTTCTTGAATTGCAGAACAAGACTGGCGGTTTGGAACTTCCGGACAACGCGACGCTGATCAGAGAGAATATCGTGGATAACTTCTCCTGCCAGGACAGAATTTATGGATACTACGCTGACATGGAGAACGATTGCCAAGTTTTCCACGTTTGCATGCCACAGGCTAGAGGTGCTACTAGATGGAGCTTCATTTGTCCCGCGGAAACTGTTTTCAATCAAGCGAGTAGCCATTTTATTCCTAAGTCCTTTCTCTGTCTATCTTATAACGACCCAATTTGTCCTCGTTAGGCCACGTTCGTTTGCACGAAAACGGAAAATTCTATACCGTGCGAGGAATCTGAGAATTTCTATAACTTGAACGAGGCCATTGGTAAGGAAGTCGAAGAAGAGGAAAGCGACATGGTACGGCCGGTAAAGGAATCGGACGTAGAACCGATCTCGAGCAAACCTCCGATCAGGACATCGAGGATTTTAAATCGCAACAAGTCGTCGCGAAATCAGTGATTTCACCGAATGATGTTTGCCAAGCATGGGCTGTGCGTGTGTTATCTAACTTGGGACTGTTGAAAAAACAAGATCGACTACGTTTGCTTGTCCACAATGCAAGCGACAGATAAGATTATTTAGTAACTAAGTATTGATATTTAAATGTACGATAAGAATTGTATCGAATCGTTCTAAAGATCGTGTGCAATGACGTATGCAATACACGAAACGTGTTTGGAGATATGTACGTTAAGTCGGTGAAAGCCTGAAGCTACAAAAATTTTGAAATAAATGGTTGTCGATGTCTCTGCAACAGATTTATTGTATATAGTTGCGATACAAGTAATTAATACTGCTACTTCGATATTAATAATTAAGCAATTGTGTCACGCGCGGAAATGAGTTACACAAATGTCCCAAGCCTAGAACGAAACAGAGGATACGACGGTGCAGCAGGCCGATATGTTTAACAAAAAGCGAAAAGTAACTTAACAATCTAAGGAAAACATCGAAACGTAATTATCACGACGCTTCTAGTAGTCGTTTATTTACAATTGATATGTGTCGATATTGGTCTTACGACTCGAAGTTGAGTCGGGAATAAATTAAACAGTAAAGAAGAACTTTAAAGTACACGAAAACTACTGTACAATTAAAAGGAATACGGATAACACGAAACTAAAAACACACACGCACACGTGCAAAGCGGCTAGAAATAAATCCAATCTTATTTTTTTTTTTTTTTTCTTTTCTTTTTAATTCTGGTGATATTTATGAAACTGCAAAAGCCACCGAAATGAGTCGGTAATCTTCGGCCTCTTTTCTATTCGGTATCTTTGGATAACTAGCCATTATATCGTGGATAGGCAGTGCCTATACCTCCGTTCATAAATGCCGATAAAATAATTAACGACAACAAGTACATCAACTTTCATCCTCGTAAACAAAACTTCGCAACAATTTGTCACAAGAATCCCAAAGCGTATATCAGAATTGCAATTTAAGTACACTTTAGTCGAGAAAAGAAAGATAATTAAAATCAACGCCAATCTCGTCTGAAAGCTATTGGTCTCTGATCGTTGAAGAAATACAATGTAACGACTATACAAGGAAAATGCAATAATACTTGTTACGTACAAACGAATTCGTTAAAAACGCAAGTGCACTTACAACGAAGTGATAAAACGAACGCTTACAGCCATAACAATAAATTCGCTAACTTTTCATTCCATCGCGCATAAACTTTCCTCTTAAACGAGCTTACATCTACCGATATAATATAATACACATATATTACGTATTTTCGACAATGTTATACCCTGTGTTGTCCTGCAAGTAGACGTCCTCGTAATTCCGACGATTTTACATAATACTTTTCCTGCTTAATTTTCCTCGAACCAGCAGTCTTGCCACATGGATAAAAGCAAAGGAAGAATTTCATGTGAAACGAGCAGGTGTCTTTTAGGCCTCGGAGTCTACGGCCAAATCGGCCTCGATTTCCTCAGGGCTTCTAAGATCTATGGCAAACCTCTTCTTCGCATTCTTGCCTGCCATTTCTGCCATTTTATCCTGAGCCTTCACAGTTCTAGAATATATCTCGAAAGCCGCGGCTAGAGCGTACGTCAACTGCCTTGCGTGGTGTTTCGACTCACAAACGAAACCGTGACACTCGAAAGGCGAAACCCTCCTGAAGTTCTCTGTTTCGCGTACGACGATCATGGAGAAGACTCGAGTGTAGACGAGATCTTGGACCCCGTACGAGATCGTCTCGATAGCGTACATCCTGGCGAAATTGGGGTCCTGTTTCCTTTTTTCGAGAGGAAGTAAGGCTACGCCTTCTTGAGAGACGACCAGTTTGATCAGAGGGAGCATGGTGTTGGTCGGTAAGGCCTTCGCGGCAGCCACCATATTATCGACGGGCCTTCTCGTATGCTTAATGCCCCAGAGGCCCCTGGCATCATGGGAGCCCAGATATTTCACCTGAAAAGAGTCCCCTTTAGTCTCCCACGCGTGGGCCTACTCAGGTAGTAATTAAACCTATACCAAGACCTTGGATTCCTAACGTAACGTAACGTAACGGAAGAGTATAGGCGGGAGGAACCTTGGAAACGGTTCGAGTTATGTCAGGAAAAAGTTTGCAAGTCGCAAGATATTGCTTACAGAGACGACGGCGAAAATTTCATCTTTCGGCCGACTAACTAGAAAGGTGCTTCGAAAAAGGTACAAGATAAATATCGTAAAAGATATACCTGAAACACCTGAGGAAGATCCGTAGAGCCTTCGAAGACGTTATTATCGATGGACAAACGAGATAGTTTGGACACGAGCTCTTTCTTCTTGTCAATCGAAGACACGGGACTTTTGTCTTTCTTCATCTCCTTTATCTCCTGACTTTTCTGCGATGAAGGAACAGTTTAACGTTAGTACATCTTCGTTACACATTTTTGCCACGGCTTTTTATCAATCGAGCAAACGGGAAAAGCAGACGAAAGAAGCGTTGAACAAGGTTCGTTGACCAAACGTTCATCTTGCGAGACGAATTGCGAAACAACCTTCGTGGAATCTCGTAATTGTTAGAAAATCGAACAACAGGCGAACTAGCTTGTGTATGAAAAAGACGCAAAACGTCGGTAAGTACTCACATTATTGTTATCTAGTCGACAGATCCTCTGTGTTTGCCCTGGCTTCACTTTCAGGTGATACTCGACTACGTTCGGTATGTTCGGCGGGTTGGAAACGACTGAGGAAGCCGGAGAGGATGAAGAGGCGGTCGCTGGCCGCTCAGGGACGGCGTTTCCGGCCTCGGTCGCCCCGAATAACGGCGCTGTCATCACTGATCTATACCTACCCAGCGTTTCCCCCATCTGACAAATTCAACAAAATTTCCTGTCACTCTTCCTTTCGAACACTGGTCGATATTTTCAAGCAGGTTTTTCAAACTTTTTAACCGAACAACACCTTTTCTGCGCAGCTATCCTTGTTATTTTTCACCGGGTCTTTAGCGTCGTTGCGCTCGTTATTAACGTTCTTCAGCACACCCTCAGCCCTCCTCGTAAAGCCGAAATCCTCGTCATCCATAGCGACCGTTCAATCCTCTATGCTTCTAGAATCCCTCTTTAGTTATTGCAAGTTGCACTCCGCCCAGTCACCGCGTTCCTTAAATCATTCGAATATAATCATCGCTAATTATCGTTCCCCGTGTTTGCTCGTTTTATCGGTGAACAAGGCCCGATCGTTCGATACGCGTTCAATACGGTAAATAAAGCGTCACGCGTAACCTTCGCTTATGCAAAGACACGAGACTCGGGGAACGGAAACGCGCTAGCAATTTTCAGCAACCGACCAAGCAGCAGGGAGAATTCACCCCTCGTGGACGTTATTACGGTCATCGTTGTATCCCGAAGTGCGTTCAGCCGCGAAATTAAAAACGTGCTTAACGTCTCGACTTAAACCGGAAAACAGCTGTCGCACAGCACGTATTGCACCTTGCGCTCCGCTCGATCGTTTTTCTTCACCACTCAAAAAAAAGCCACCTCTCGCGTTCACCGTTTCGTTGACAAATGCTGAAGGCTTGGATAAACTGTGCGGAAATTTCCGAATCGTTCGCGTCGCGTCCATAGGAAATTCGAGCTACGAGGCGACGCTTCGCCTGCTCTATTTTATACAAAAGCCGTTTTTGTTCGTGGTCACAGATTTAATCGAACGAAACGGATGCGCCGAGGCACATAAAACGCGATGCTATCGAGAATCGTAAATGCGCACGGGGGGCTTGGCTTTGAGCAGGCAGGAAATGAGTCAGGTGACCGATAGTCAGGTGAAAAGGGATTCATTAATGTATTCCGTCCGTTGGTCAGGTGTGGGCATTCTGTTGTTCGTACTTATGCCGGTGAATCCGCGTGTGCAGTTACCGTTTCGAAAATGCTCGCTGGTTTGCGCGCGCGCGCGCAGGGACGAGAGCGCAGAAATTCAAGAACGAAGGTCGGAACGAGCGGACCGAGTCGGAAAGACATTCGTGAAATTTTACTCCGGCTGCATTTGCGAAACCTGATAAGAAAGTTCCCGTAGATAGAAAAGAAAGGAAGAAAGGAATTCGCGGAGCGTATTAACGAACGATAGTTAGTCTAAACCGACGTATCGTAACACTGTGCGAAACAACGCCAGATGAATGAACTTTTTTCGTTTTCTTTTTCTTTTTTCTTTTTTTTTCCGTCACATTGTATACCCTTTGCGCTCGTACACCTGTCGTCCAATTACACCCGCGTACAATACTAGAACTATTAACACGCGTGCCGACGTACCGGGTGTCCCGTGGCAAACCGAGTTTCGCAGAGCAAAGGTGATTCCAGAAGAAAGGTAGAAAGTATTGGGATAAAGACGCAAAGATTTATCCTACAATTCGGGAACATCTATGCAAAGAGAAGAAAGAGATGGAGCATTAGTGGTAACGGTATCGTTCGAGAATGAAATGGAGCTGCAGACAGTCACTGATCGTTATTACGGTTTTCCGAGATTTCCGTTACGCCTCGGGATATCGAACTTGGTCGATCCTACAACAAAGCAAATTCTCAAATATCGTGGAAAAGTAAGCAGAACGAAGCGAATGGAGTCACAAACGACGAAACGTCGTTATTTAGAGCGGGAAATGGAGAATGAGAGAGACTCCCTTTTTCGCGCCGAGCTCACGAGAGGGTAACAACGTTACCGGAAGTGTCGGTGGACGAGTGTGTCTGACCGGAAGCTATTATACTCGTGTCACGAACGAACTGCAACGGCGCGCGTCTCGCACCGTTGGAATTTAAACCTTATGCGCTCGTGTTTACTCTCGTTAATGGTAACAATGTTTCTTTACTTTAATTACAGGTTAACGTGCCACGTATCTCCTAATTAATTAATACAAGCGTTAATCAGCGAGCAGTTTCCTCGATGGATCCGAACAAAATGAAACGATGCGTCGCAATTCATAGTCGTTCCCTCCCACATTTTCCCACGATACCACGATATACTTCTCCTGCGGTAAAAACGCGGAAGGAGAACTTTGCGCGAATCGAAGATAAAAAGATCGGCACGTAGCACCGCTGTACAAGAACTGAAACATCGAATCGAGAAAAATTGAAACGCAATTGTCATTTCCGTTAAAGGCGACTAATCGATATCGTCGTGCTTGTCAGTTATCGCTAATACCGCCGGAGCTATCAAAATCTCATTATCATTGATACGTGGTCAAATAAGGCGCCTTTATGAAACGCGAGATATGGATTGCGTTATTAAAAAATAACGCTGCATAACGATCACCGCTCATCTATCTCGAGAGTTCTGCCTACATCACCGCACAGAAATAATAAAATAACGATTCGATTGATTATTTACAGCCGTATACCTGCACACTTTTCGCATGTTTGCACTGTAACATCATTGCAAAAGCATCACTGTACAAGCACGTTCACCGAACTTTCGATATTCCAGCAGACGATCCGTCCTTCGCGAACAGAGGCACGATCGGAAATTATTTCGCTGCAAATGCAAATACAACGGAGCGACTACTCCGTGCTCGTAAGTATCCGGAAACGTAGCCGTAGATGTGATCACCGGTCGATCGATCCGCGCTCGTTCAACCGCGAAACCGTTCTGAGGATGGACCGATCTAGGATCCGCGAACGATCGACAACCGGCTGCGTGCTATGCACTGTCGCGTGTACGTGCGACTGAAAATCTGGGACACCGCAGCTCGCTGTGACTCGCGTCGACTGATAAAATACGCGGCGAGTCGCCACCATAAGCCCGATGCCACGACGCACGCCTGCGTGTGCGCATCCATTATCACCAACCTTTTGATAAATCTCAAGCAACGCTGCAGAGATAATACCGTTCCATCTGGATGGTTCTGTACGCTGACAATCGTCGAGCAACGGGCTGTTTATTTGGACGAAAAATTAACAGACCTCGAATGAATAAACGAGCGTTACATCTCTCACGTTGTCACCGTTGCACAATGAGATTCGAGTACTTATTAATTCGCTCGTGAACAGGTGTCGCGCGCCTGGATGTGGGACAGCCTCGGGCAGTGTCATTCAAGCACAACCGGAATGAATCGTGAAATATACGAGACGCGAATGGTATCGCGAGTACCGATATCGGTGGTCAAAGTACCCTTGCGTGCTCTTCCTTCGTGCCCACTTTAAGATACACCGCAAGAACGAAGAACTACCCGAACGGTTCTCGTCTTACGTTGGCAGTACGGCAAATTGAATGACGCTTCCTAGGATTCGTTGTAATCGATGTTATATCGCTTACATAACTCTGGGTACAATAAAATCCATGCGTTGCCAGCGCAGTGTTACGTAAAAAAAGATAGCGAAGCTTCGATTGTGTACACGTGCACAGGTACTAACATGCGGATAAAAATCGGGATATCAATTAAAATAATTAAACAATCGGCGGACGCGTAGCTAAATCGATAAGAATTTGCAACGATAGATTCGCAAAAGTGTCGAAAATCGACTGATCGTTAGTGATAATTACGAGTCTGTCACCGGCTCGAAAATCCCGACGATCTTCGGTTAACAGGTTTCGTTGATATTTTATCCGGCGATATCGTAATTAAATGTTTAATCAACTGACAGTGGTAGAAACGTGAGAAAGACTTTCGTGTCGCTTTTGTATGGCGACAGGAAAGATGCTCGGAAGTCAACTCGTTATGAAATTATGAAAGCTTATAGCGACTGAACATTGCCGAGCGTGTGAAGATTCGGGATATAAAGTAACCGTCTGACGAAAGTGTCCATTAAAACAAATGGTCCCCTTTTGATTGCCTTTCTGAAGAGAGGAACTACGAGAGAACAGGGTCTCGTCCTTTCGGTCCTCGCAACGCAATAACGTGTAACGACGCTCGCGCTTTTGCACCATAACGTTCGAAACGAGTACCTTGGGATACATCGTGCGATAATGCAGTCGAAACTTCAATTGAACCCCCAGCCACCTATTAAACAGCCAGCTAGAGGGGGATTCTCTAATGCGTTCGTGATATCTCTAATTACAGGTTTCTTAACAAGGAAAGAGGACAAAAGTTTTCTTCTCCGTCAACGTCGGCATCTACTTTGCTATGTAATTCTCTGTTATTCTCAAACGTAAAGGAACCGAGAGTAGACCTTCCCACGAATGTTACACGGATTTTGCAATCGCCCCGATATATAATTAACGATAATTTAATTCAGAACGACACCTATCCTCCTCTTATCTCGCTTCTTTCTCTCTGCTCTCTTTCCGTGTCTAATGCGCGTAATCGAGACACAAAGAGTATCTTATTATTTACAGTATTAAGCGTCTACACGCGGGAACACCGCGTTTGGAAATCGAACAAACGTTTGACGAGTCGCCGTGGAAAATGCTGCAAAACCGCGTAAAACTATGTTACCTAATTCGAAGCAAAAAAGCACGCGAACCGCGGCTAAAATCAGCCGTCTAATTTCATGGAATTTCCATGTCAATCTGAAAATGCTCGCGGTCAGTAATTACACTCCGCTAATTGCCACTGAACGCTCCTCGAAAATTAAGGGGCAACCGAGAAGAAGATGGAACAGTCAGCGGCATGCAAATGAACGATCGTGTGTGAGATTCCTCTTTTCCGCTTGTTCAGCTGTAGCATACATCGAGGTATCTCGATCGGAAGAAAGGAAGCACTTTGGGACTTCCTGTTTCCTTGGACACCATTTTGCACCGACTTGGTAACGAACTCGGTCTCCAACTCGACGAAAAATCGGAAGAAACGGGAATAATTTGAGCAAATGAGTTATTAAATGAAATAAACGATTAACGACGTGGCCTTGTCGATCTAGCCTTGTCAAGGTACGTGGTTAACCGGAACATAGATCTCTCTCGATCGTATGCACCGATCTAATGATCAGTTGCAAGTGTTCATCCTGGATGACGAGAATTTTCCGTTCTATCAGGCGATTCTACGGAAACAGAAGGAAAATCTGTTTGAATTATAGGCTTGATTCGGAACTCGAATACCTTTGCTGAGAAAGACGCACAAAGAGTAATCAATCGATATCACCGTGTTGAATTAACGAAAGATGTCGGATGTAGTGAACGATAGCGTGTTGCGGGATAACATGTTGTGGTAAGCAAATTTTGAAGGAATCAAGACGTTCTCCGCTTGGTCCTTGTAACACGATCGTTTTCACGGTGTAGAAGCACAGACGTTGCGTAAAGGGTATAGCAACGGCTACCTCTCATTCGAGATACAAAAAACAACGAGAGCACTAGGTCAGGTAAGTTCTGATTCTACCCCTTTCGATTAGCGAAAATTCATGGTCGATTAATGAAGACTAATTCTTACGTATTTCCTCGTATTCCAGCGCCATCGGTGCGGATGCGCCAGGATACGGAGCATATAGAAAAAGCCGCAACCCTGGTCCAAGTACGATCCTTATGACTGTTTTCACGGGTGTAAGAACACGGGAGAGATTGCGTAAGAGAAGAATCTGCGGCATCGCAGAAATGAATCCCTCCCCTACCTCCCTGGGATCTTCTCTTTCTCCGTTCGTCCGGTGTGGGAGCCCCGGAAAAGAGGGGCTCTCAAGAACCCCCTCTTGTTTCTGCTCGATCTCTAAAGCCATATATATACCACCACTTCGTGGTAGCATCCTTCGAGAAAGAAACTTTGCCCGTAACACCGTGGAGACCGAACTTACAGGCGTAGGTCCAGCGGATCGGGACCGGTGAGTGCATTGTGCCAAGATCCAAGATCGAGACTCATCCTAAGATAAATGAACACCACGTGGATGGATACTGCGGATTAAGGTGATTGGATCTTTTACGAAAAGGTAAGGCATACTTTCTTTCCCTCCGCTTGAAAGAACTTGGAAACCTTGGGAAATATCGTTGGATCCCTTGAAGCTAGCTAGTTCTAAAGTGATCGAGATAAGATGTAACGTTTCCCGAGGAAACGAACAGGATGTTTTCGATCTCTTTTCCAATTATTTTAGATCCACTAATATGAAAATTTCCTCTGAAATTTTAGATGATTTCGCGGTATCAAATTTTGTGCGCGCTCCTGCTCTACGGCGCTGTTCAGCTGTACCAGGCAATGGCGGTAAGTTACAAGATGGCCAGAATGTCGCGAGGGAAAAGTTACATTCAAAGTTCAAAGTATTACGCAACACGCCCAGCGGGGTGTATTACAGGCACAATACCTTTACGAAACCCGTACTGAATTAAAGTACGAAATTATTATATTCATTGTACTTTCTCACGTGCAACAATGACAGAGGGAGGACGGTATCTTCTCGCGTCATCTTCCCCAGGTGGCAGCATGAAGTAATTCATTAATTAACCCGTCTTGCGCGAACGTGCTTTCTCGCGCGCAGTCCACGCTTCCTTGGACAAAGTGGTTCAGAGTACATCGTCGAAAATTTCCGTGTCTCTCCCTGCGATTGTTGCGTCTACGGATGAGCGGGATTGCGCGATCGCAGCACTGGGTCCCCGAAAACCGCCCACGATTCCGAAGTTACGAAACGGCTCTCATCGAGTTACGATCTACGTATCCATCGACAGCAGCTTTATTCGCACGTCTATCGATAGGCGATCGTGCGACCACCGAGTCACGAGGATATTCATTTTCACCGGAAACGATGGCCGTGAACGCGTCTCGAAACGCGAAGGGAACCGAATTTTCAATGCCGTCGAGGCAGCGGCCAGAAAACTGAAAATAATTAATTAATCCGACGTCGATGGTTATCGCGTTAACATTCACGGTACGCGCCTTTCGATTCTTTCTTAATCCTTTAAAGAAATCGACGAGTCGTTATAACGTTTCGCAGCATTCTTCGACGTCCATTTTGTGCAACTACGATAGTTGTACGGTCATACTGTCCTCTCTTCTTTCTCCGATTAAATTCACCGATCGTATCCTATGCTCGCCATCGATTCTGGCCAACGAAACGATCTCGAACGAGATTATTTTCGTTCCTCGTGCAGAAGGTTCGATGATCTTCGAGCTGAAGAACCCTGACCTACCCTAATTTCGCGCGCGGTAACTACGCCGTCCGTTTGCGGCCGTGCTCTCTTGCCAGGCATCGAAATCACCCGTCACGTCGAGAGGGTGGAGGCACTGGCTGGCTTTGCGGTTGCGCGCGTAGTAGTGGACGGGAGATCGAATACAAAGGTACGGAGATGCGCATCCGCTTGCGGGGAACAATGTAACCCGACTTCCGGTCAGACATCGGTACGTACACGCACTGGACTGGCTCGATCCGGCGTTTCGTGTGTCGCAACAGCCTCTTTTTCTCTTCTCATTTCGACCGATAGCCAGTTGCGAAAAAGATCGCGCAGCGAGATTCCCTTCTGATCCGACGCAGTTTAAATGCTCCTCAGGAGCTGCTTGGATCATTAACTCCATTTTCCGTTTTCACCCTCGCGTGCTTTATCTCCGTCGTACGATCGAAGAGTCGAACGCAAATATTTGTTAACGATTTAATAAGCACCCGGCGAATCGTGCGTAATAAAGTCCTAAGAAAGGAAGTGCGACTTATAGCGTGCATCCTTGCTTGGTCCACATTCCATTGTGAACGATGATAGATGACGAAAGCTGTCAGTGATGTTTCGACAGAGAGCCAGGAGAATTGCAATGTAAATAATGGTTTTCACAGTCGCGTCTTTCTAGCTAATTGCCTTTGTTTCGAGAGAAATCAAGATGTAATTCGCGCAACTTGTTTGAATTGAAATAAGCTGTAATTCGATTATCCTAGATATCCTACAGATACCCGTAGACAGCCTCCGAAAGGTTTTCGTCATCGGGTTACGCGTTACAAACCAATTTGTATCGAGTAATTAACGCTAATTAAGATACAAGTCGTTCGAAACATCTCGCGAACCGATCTCTACTGATATTTCAGCAAGTAGACGGTTACACACCTGGCGTGGATTATCCGATCTACGACACGGTACCTTTCGGCCTTACGTTTACCTGTGGAGGCAAGTTACCTGGTTACTATGCCGATCCTGAAGCTAGATGTCAGGTAAGTTTGCGTTACTGTCTTATACCTCGTGACCACCTCGTGACTACTACGATTCTGATTATTTCTGTTTTAGGTATGGCACTGGTGTTTACCAAATGGGCGCATGTTCAGTTTCCTTTGTCCAAATGGCACCGTTTTCAGTCAGTCGGCTCGCGTATGTGATTGGTGGTTCAAGGTACTCCTTTCTCGGTGTATCTCACTTTTCGACAATATTATTATATTGTTGACAACTACTTGCAACTATTTTTCTTTACCACAGGTTGATTGCAACGATTCGCCAAGACTGTACGGTATCAACGACGACCTGTACAGAGACGTGAACGGGAACAAGATCTAATCTAATTTTGTAATCGGTGAACATTTAAACGCGTGCAAACAAAGGATATTCACGTGTACAGCCTCCTCGAGACAAGAGAGTATTTCAATAGAAGCGAGATTCGTCGAACGAGTTGTGAGTTCCTAGCTTGCCGGCGGAGAAACGCGCAAACAGAACGCTGTAATATTCTCAGATGCTAAATTACACGTTGATCAATCGTTACGAGCTGTTCGAGCTTCTAGCTATACCCTCGACAGAATTTCGTCACAGGTACCACCCACCTCCATGGAACTATTAAAACTCGATCGTACAATATGTTCTGATAAATCGTTCGAATAGCTCTTAACCGCCTTATAACAGATTCGATTCTTTAATAAAGAACAACAGATGCATTAACTTCTTTCCTACGTATCCGAAGTGGGCGTGTGGACTTTACCTTAATCGCAACGGTCAGCTTTTATACGGTAATCAGTGCCAAGTAAGAACAAAGGGAAGAAAGAAGAGGCCTTAACAGTGCACTGGACACTGCGCAAAAGTCGAAATCGCGTCGAACGATTTCTTGGCATGATCGGACAATAGAAAGTGAGTGGACGTCGCAAACGGCCACCTCGTTCCCTACCTTTTTTCCTGTCAAACGTTGCCTTCGACGCTACACTTTCCGTCTACGTTTTGCATGTACACTCGGTCGCAACGTTCGAGGCCGATCAGAAACGAAAAACCCCGTTCGTCCGAACCTTAGACAAGAGCCTCATCCGTCGATTCTTCTTCCCGATCTCGAGTGACACGTAATTACACCGTGTACAGCGAAGAATTTTAATCGATGATTCTGACGTTACGCAAACGAATAGAAATTTGGTGTGCCTACTTACGAAACTCTAACTTCCGTCTATCGAGCACGTTCCTTGGCACGCCAAGGCCAAAGTCATCGGAGAACGCCTTTATCCCTATTACGTTTCGTCGCACCGACAACACGAATATAATGCAAAGTACACGGATAGCATCGTTGCCACCACGCTCCGCGTAATTACGAGATCGCGGAGCTATCTAACGTGGAAACAATCCTGCAGCATCTGCAGAAGGTCAAAGCGTTACGCAGGATTACGAAGGATTAGTATAAAATTGCAACGTGTAACGTGCGGCGCGTTGAAATTCCGCACGCGTAAAAGAATACGCATCGAGAGACGTTCCTCCTCGAGAGCGGATCGCGAGCGCAAATGCCACGGGCGTATCCGATGCCTTGTCCTGAAATTCTTGACAATCCCCTTTCAAAGATCAACAGGCGTGTCGCGCTATAGCTACAGCGGGACATCCTTGGATCAGCGTTAAAGCAACATGGAGATTTACGTTTGCAGCGTTAACTGGAATCAGCTTCCTACCTTCCTGCCTTTCTGCACTCCAGGGGACTCGAGTTTCGCGCGTCCTTCGAGCGCGGATAAATCGGTAACCCCTATGCGGATGCGACCGCATTTCGAGAAAGAGAACGTGGAAAATGGGAGACTGGATACGAGAACCTTGAATCTCGAAAAAGAAAGGACTCGTTGTCCTTAGAGAAAGCAGTGAACTTTGAAGAAACGATCGATCTCATGGACACGACTGGATTCCAGTTTATCGCCATTTGATCCTGATCGCCATTTGTCTCGCTGATTAAGATGCAAATCCTTGGAAGATGATTTATTCTTGACGGACATTAGAACGTTCATCATCGCACGCTTTCTTCTAGAAATTGAAAAATTCCACTGATTGTATACTCGAGATTAGCAAGGATCCGTTGGAATAATCGGAATTGATTAGAATAATTTCTTCGGATAGCTACGGTTATATTCGCCCGATGCTCGTGTGACCCTGAAGATAATTTATCGAAAAGCCAGTTGACTCGCCTCAAGAGCCAATCACTTTTTCACGTCCTGACACTGTTCGATTACGAAAGGATCGTAGCACAAGCGTTACGGGAAATCGAACTTCCTATTTCTACAGAACCGAGCGCGTTGTCATTGGCCAAGGAAACAACGTACGCGATCCTTATCGATCACGATTCGAGTTAGGTAGGATCGTAGTCTGCACGATGAAGTCTCCGAGTTGGAGAATATTGTCCTCGTCAATGTCCTTTGTCGGTAGACGACGCGTTCCACTTTCACTTGGTTTCTTCGGATCGATCTTTCAAAAAGTCGAAACGATCGCGATGAATTCGACGAATGAGCTCGATCATCTAGAAAAGGGCACCGGGATGCACCAGTCGGAATCCCCTGAAGGCGGTACGAGACCTTTGCAGCCCCGTTCGAGGTACGTTTACTACGTGCACCCTTTGTCCAGGTTTGCTTGGGACGAGAGGGCACCGCGACGAAAAATGTCCGGTAAAAGTAAGACGCAGGCAAGATATCCAGATAAATGGATGGCCTTCTAACTCGTCTCGCTGAAGAGTCAAGTTTGAAAGGTTCGCCCGCGTATTGGCTGGCTTCGATTCGGTTCGAATCCGAGTTGCATTCACGTCGACTATCAGGTGGCGACGCAGGTGTTCCTTGCGAACCTTTCGCTCGGCGGGGACCGTTTTTTCGACAGAGCTACGCCAATGCGAGGGCAGCCGAGGCGCCTATGTTCATCCAAACCCCCTCCTCGACCTTATCCTCCGTCGTAGAAAGCTCGACCAGACGACGCTGGCCGGAGCACAACGCTCTTGCTGCTGGCTTTTCCACTTCCATCGCGCAGTCTTCTGGCCGGACCGGACGCGGTCTTGCGCAGAACAAGTAACGCGGTGTTTTCCCGGTGATTCCTTTCGAAAATTCGACCATCGATCCACCCCCGTTCGTCCAGACTCGAGTTGCCGAGCGCGCCTCCGCCGACAGTGCCTTCTCAAGATCGTTCGCTGGCAGAGAAGTATTCGCGCGGTGTACAGGTGTTACAAGTATATACTTGGAGTGCGCCTCGATGTGAGGACGGTGCTTTCATGAGGGATTAACGAAAAATCAACGGAGCCGAGAGACAGGTCTGTGTCTTTTCTTCTACTCGAATTAATCTTGACCCGAACGCGGCAAATTTTTCCCAATTCCATCGGGAGTCTGCGTCGAAGTTTGATCGGTTCGGAAAAAGGACGAACGGAAAAGGCAATCGAGTTCATGCTGGTCGCTAGAATACGAGAGTTTTCGAAATTAACGCGGCGAAAGTAGTGGCGATTCCTTCGCTATTTATACCCCGCGAACGTTGCCTCCTTTCCTGCCATCGGCTTCGGGCAGGCGAGACCAAGGCAAATGAAATTTGGATTACTTAAGCGGCGGTAATCACAGTGTTTTATTCAAACGGCAGAAGTCGTCGGCTTCTGCCCGCGGCCAGAATGTCAGCGTTTTCTTGCGACAATCTCTCCACGTGAGCGTTCGAGCCGACTCGAGCAGTACCTCGCGGCTAGTGAAACCGCTCGAACCGACTCGCTCCGCCCGATATAGTCGAAAAAAGAAAAGATCGTAAGCGTAACGCAACGCTCTGGTATTTAAACGCGCGAAATTTTCGTAAGAAGAGAAAACTGCGCGTCGCCAGCATCGCAACGCGCTTTTCTCGGCCTCGCGGTCGAGTTTCGAGTTTGAAACGCGACACGAGCGATCCGTCGTTTCAAATTTTGTCCACATCGACGCACATAAATAACGTATTCGAAATCGTGAAAGGACGATCGAACGTTCTGCGAGAGCTTCAGGAGTAAGATAAAGGCGCCAGGACTTTCGCTGGCTACCGCATCCTCTCCCTCTTTCTACCAGACGTTTTTACACCTTCGGATGACAACGAAAGCGAACTGGTTCTATCGGCGAATTTACCGTGCGCCCGACTTTCCATTCCTTTTTTTCCTTTCGGGAAAAAAGAAGAACGCAACTCCTACGCTCGCCATCTCCCTCGAAGCTGTTTAATAAGGTGAAAGGAAAAAAAAAGAAACATCGGCGATACGTTAATCGCGTGTTCCGCGAGTGTGATCGCATTTTCGTGCGTTTTTTAGCTCCGATTGCGAACATCGGTAGGAATGAAATCGCGCGAATTTCTATTCTCCTTGTTCACCGAGAAACAACGTTAACGAGCAGAGTTTCGTTTCAGGAAATACGCGCAGGGTCGGTGCACGTGTTAAGAGTACACACACGCGAATCAGCGACACGCGTCAAGAAAATCGCCATTCGCATATGCATGTATTTTTTTTTTTTTTTTTTTTTTTTTTTTTTTACGGAATATTTCCGCAATCCATACTGGAAAGAAGCTGGGGATAACCGAGTTCCTGCTCGAGATTGACGGGAAATTCGAACGCTATGAGTCAGTTTCATTCTCACAGATTCGATCGTTGGTTGGGTCGGCTCGTACCGTGAAACGAATTTATACTTCTATGGTTTACACCAGCGTATAACTCGCAGCGTAACGTTCCCGACGAGTTACGCGGCTTACGACACCGCGAGGCGATAAAGGTGCGAGCGTAATTTTAACCGTTAATCGACTTATGCGCGAGTTAATTCTAGCTTTGATTTTTATCACCGATCTATGGAAACGAAGAAACTTCTCCCGTGAACGGCGAATCGGCTACTTTGCCGATTAATCTCGCGGTTTTCCGTAACCTCGACAGTGCCTCGACCAACCACTCTCCCTCTTTCGGTGTCTCCCTTTCGTTCTCTCCTTCCTCCTTATTGCATTCTAACGCGTCCACGTTCACTTTCGATCGACGGATTCCGTAGCCGATTCAACACACGCTTGAAAGTGAATTTATTTCACGAGGAGCCAGTTAAAATCGCGACACGCCTAGGCGCCCTAATTATCCAAGACACCGCGAAATCGTTCCTACGTATCTAAGAAGAAAATTTTACCTGCCGAGGAGCATTTCGTGATCGAAATTCGAGCGAACCACCGTTTTTTCGCTGAAATCTCCACCCTGACCGCGATTCCGATCGATCGAACTGTAGCGCCATATATTTTGAGATAAAGAGAAACTATTTGTAAAAAGGCACGATGTGAAAGCCTTGAGAATCCACGACAGGATCAAGCAAATGAGAAGGAAAGCGCGGCGCGAGAGGAAAGTAGCCTCGAAAACGAACGTTTGCTTCCCTCTAAAAATAAGAAATAGGCTGCTCGTTCCGATGATTATAGGACTGGAATCGCAGCCGGATCGCGCATAAACTAGCAACTGCGATGGCGGCGGTTGCGTAATCCGCGAACGCTTTCGCGGGCTGTCCCGACACGTCGATCGATATTTTACCAAGATCTTTTTCGATAAACAATATCGGGAGCGTCCGAGCGCGCGCGCGCGCGCGCGCAAGCGAACGCCGCGTTACGACACGAGAACGCGCGTCGTCCGGCCGCGGTCTGCTTTCTCCCGCTATACGCCGTCGGAAAAATAAACGAGCTACTTCGTCGTAATCGAACGGCCGGAATAGGCTTAATGGCCGGGTCGCGATTCGCCACGAAAACCGAGATAATTTCTGCCCCGGCGTGAACCGCGCCCCGAACAGATTCCGACAGAGAGAACGGCCGCCGCGCGTCGAACACGATTATTACACCTGCGTCACCTTCGCTTTTCACGGATGCGCAATTGGACATTGATTAGGACGGTTCGCGGTTTAATCTCCTAATCGAATCTTCCTCGACCGTTCCACCTCGCTTTCCGAAAGGTTAACGACGTTTCCATTCAACGATTCAAGGGCCTCGCGTTATTTCTGCGGTTGCGAGGCCTCGAAGTTCCATTTGCCAAGAGTTGCCTCGAAAATGAATATCACCGGCACGGGTAATGAACCATCGCCGTCCATCTCTAATAACGTGGCATTAGAATATACCGACTCTACTCTCCTGCGAGTCTCCGGACCCCAGAGCGTTTCGAAATTCTCTCTTTCTCGAACAATGGCGGCGCGTGGTATTCCGTGGTCGCCTCTTCGCCAGGATGCTGTCTACTCGGTCGAGGATGCAAATGATTCGTGGAACCACGCTCTATCGACTATTCTCGTTCCCTTGAAATTGTTGGAAGTATTTCGCTGCATTTCGCGTTTCGACGCGTCCGAAAACTGGTATGCCCTTCGTTTTCAACATCGAAACGATTCTCGGTAGATCCATGCGTGGTCCCTAACGATCTACGGCCTCGTCCCGTGCATTCGCAGCGGACATAAAGATTCCGTGTAGTAAATCGGTTATCGAGGATAAAGTCGAGCAAGAGACGAGTTCCTCGTCCACGCTATTTCTCGCCTTAGGATAAAGCGAAATTTGACCAACGTCGCTTTCGAAACGAAACGAAGTGTGTCAGGCTGTTCTACGAGGCACGCGTGAATATTGCGCGATACCTACTTTCGATGATGCTCGCACGATCTGCACCGATCGTTGAATTTCGAACGATCTATTCCTCGCGAACGGTACTCCCGCGTAATGCAAACGACGTTTGCGAAATCGCGAGACAGGCCACGAACGGATAATCGCGAATCTAGTATCCAAGCGGGGATAATTTCAAAAGTAAACGAACGATCGGATGAAAATCGTGCTGGAAATTCTCGTCTCGAGAAACTTCGAGGACGTTGGTGTACCGTCTTGTTCTCGTAATTCTCTTCGCCATCGATGTCGATGATACGAGAGCTGCTCGTTTCGATAGCCTGCGCGGCCGTGTAATTTATAGACGTGGGTATAATTTACGAAACGGTAGGAAGCAATCGTAAAACGTCCCTCGTACGATTCAGCATCGTCCTCGTTCTGCTCTCACAACGTGCGATTGTTCCTCCGGCAAGGAAAGACGCGACACGTTAATTGCGCTAATTACACGCGAAAGCCTCTTTCCTCTGGAAGAAAGAGGAAAAGAGGATAAAAGATGGAATTTCCGATTCCAAGGCGAGTTTCTTCCCAGCGCGCAATGACTTTCTTGCGGTTTTGGAATTACGTCGAACCCTGGTTACAAAATTTTCCCCGGAACGATGGCGAAATTGCACTCGAAATCGTCCAACGACCGTCGATAAGCGTAATGCGGCTACCGTTATACCGTTGCGAATGGAAAGCGTGCATCTTTATTGCCACTTTCCTCTTTATCAATACCGTTCACTTCGCTAACCTCGGGACGGTTCTTGCTAATTGTTTCGACCGTGGAGCCAACGACGGAACAGCGAGGACAAAGAAAAGACAAAGGAAAAGCCACGCAACCCCACGAGCTGCTGGAGTCTTGCATCGTTCTGGCGGTGTAGCGCCGCTTTATTTGTCGCGGTAAGCTTACACAATGTGCCGATAAAACGTCGCGAGCGGCATTTTACGGTCGAATAAATTTTATTCACGGTGGAGAGTGAAATCATTTATTCCGAAGCCGGTTCTCTCGCCGCGGCAAAAGCAATCCGCTCGCCGCCTCTCACGGCGGTCGGTATTCCTGAAAAATTTTCGGTTTATCGATTAAAATTAACTTCGCGTCCTCGACTGCCGGTCGAGCGTACCCGAGAGGTAATATCGCGAATTTAGAAATCTCCGTGGCGATGGACTTGGAGAAGGATTGCCATCGATGAATGAACGCCGGGAGCAATTACGTAAGCTGGCCGCTTTTACCCGACGCGAGATTGATTATATTTGCCGAACGATCCTCCGGGTCTGTATTTATACGCTAAAAAAGCGTTACCAGAGATCGCGTCGATAGCTAAGCGTGAAATATCGAGGGCCATTGTGAAAAGGAGTCGCGGGGAATTACCATCGGGATACCCAGGGATTTCGAAATTCGTCTCTGACGTAGAGGATCGTTGTTTCGTCGAACTAAGAAAGCTTCCTCTTCCCGTGATACAACGGTCATTGTTTTCCGGTGTCAAGCACACGTATGGATCAGACCAGGTTTCGCGTGTCAGCTTTTGTCAGCTTTACACGCACGCGACTAATCCGGATAATTCTAGCACCTTGACACGAAAAACCAGCCAGCATTAAGGCACACCTTCGCAGTAACGATGCTCGATTTTCACATCTCCGTCGGTGAATAGGAGGAGACACGATGAAATGTATTCCCAAACTTTCAAGGCCTGTTTTCGAAGGAAACGACGCGCAATTTGCATGAGAATAAAGCTGCTTCATTCTAATTTCCTGCGGTTGCAACAGCTGTTCAAGCAGCGGAATAACAGCAATCGCGATTTAGTCTCGTTTCATATTCCTCGAGCAAGTATCGACGCTATTGGCGCACACGTTCGCCTGCACAATCGGACACTTTCTACGTACAAAGTGGCAATCCTTCTCCTAAACGACGTCGAGGATTAACGACGCGTAAGAAACCCATATTCGCGGTCTACCTCGCTATCTTTCACGTGCTTTTCTCCGCGAAGCTTATAATAGTCGCAGCTGCTAATTTTAATCGAACGCTACGAGCGAGTAGCATCATCGCAGTCCGACCACAAACACCTAGAATCCACTCTGCGAAATTACGTGCCCGTGTGCCGCGAATGCAACAAGTGTCTAACGAGTTACGACGACGGAGCACACGTTCGCGTAGAATGTACATTACACCGGTGCTCGTCTCGACGGGACACTTTCTACCCACACGACGCAGCGATCCTTAGCCCAATGAACGTGAAATACACGGATAAAAGAAGCGTCTAGCAGCGACCGTGTGAAACGCGCGTGTTTCCCTTGTTTCGATATAACACGTATCGCATATCGCGTATCCGCGATCCGACGACGGAGCAAAAATCGCGTTACCTTTCTTATTCAGGATCGAACTTAATTGCCTCGTGCCTTGACCTCGCCGATTCCTTACGTTAGACAAGAGAACAAACGCGAATCGAGTGCACGCTCGGTTCAACAGCAATAACGTTACCTAACGGTAATCCGAATTCGCGAGGTTAGCCACGGGAAAATCTACTCTCGCGAGAAAGTAAATGGCCTCGCCGCGAAAAACGTTTCCGTGGAATGTGTCCAATCTCGCTAAAGACCGGTGGACTTTACCGGCACGCACTGATAAGCGCCTGGCTGACTCTCGACAACTTTTTCCACTGCGCAACGGCCATCGGTGATTCGAGTTTCCGGTGAACCCGAGAGCCCCGTTTGCCCCGTACACGATCACGGTAAAACGATCCGGACGATAGAATGGGACCAGCGAGCAGCTAATTCTCACGTTCTGCTTTTAACTAATTGTTTCTACGATTGAGAACTCGCGATCGGGGAAAACGCCGGACTCGTTGAAACGCGTGTCTTGGGAAAAACGTTGGAAAAAATGCGGAAACTCGCACGAATCGAAGCGGAACACGGTCACTCGATAACCGTTTTCCTTCGTCGCCTCCGTCGTTATTGCCGCCATCGAGCATAGCTTCTTCGTAACGATTTACTCGATAACGCAACGTCGATAGCTGTCCGAACAGCAAGCACGAGGAAATGAAAGCTTGCTGCACCGACCTGTACGTGTTTCGAAGGCTATCGGGTTTTCTAACCACGCCTTCTGTGAACGGTTAATCTGAAAAATCACGAATATCTTTAAGGGAAGAAATGACAGAGCGCTGCTGTATCGCGATCGGTTCGCGTCAGGATATTTTTGATTTTTTCGAGTCGGTGGGCGAAGGAGAATTCTTTGTTCTGGTCGAACAAATGCAAGTTTCCACTGAATTTCGTGGAATTTTCGCACGAAACGCTTGAAATGGAAGAGTGGAGGATTATAATTTGTTGGAAAAGTCAAATCGATCGTGCAACCGGTCGTGCCAGCCGTTACTTCCGGTGACCTTTAGCGGTCGTAGGATGACCGTTACGCGTGTCGTAACATAACGTAATTTACCGTAAGGTAACGTTACGAGTGTCGCGTTCCACGCGCAACTCGTTAAAGAGGAATCCTCGATTGGAGAAAATGTGTTCGCGCTGGTCGTATAAACGGATACGCCATCTACGTAATTCATTCCGCGACTGGCAAAAGGTGTTTCCAAGTTCCTACGATTCGCCAGGCGAATCGGATAGCCGGAGAATCGTACGGTATTTCCAAAATGGCCAGAACACGCACGCGTTAAACGCGTTCGCGTAATCGTGGCTTCTTCCCAATGAAACCAACAACACGAATTTCCCAGCACGCCTGAGAACTCGTACATTCGTTGTGACACGAGTAAAGAAAGCAATAACGAAACTTGTGTAACCGAATAACGCGATTCCCTGTTTCAGCGAGGAGAGCCAGACGTCCTCCTCCTTTTTCCTGCCACTTTTACACCGACGATAACGATCCGTCTGCGAACTGGAGCGCGATAGAGCGCTTAATTAATGCGAGGATACACCACGATTGACCCGGCTGGACTAGATTTTTCTATCGGAAACCGAGACGGGGAATAGAAAATTTCGATCGCCGATATGGGGAATCGCTCCGTCAAACGTCACGGGCAAACCGGTAAAATTTTCTCCGTGCCTCGTTCCAATTATCTTTTCCTAGTTTCGCGTATACGCGTTTTATAGAATGTTTAATTACAGAAAAGGGTGAAAAGTATCGGAATTACGTAATGAAAACGTATCGCCTGGCTACTTTCACCGGTTTCCGTTTCGATATGAAAGAAAATCCGCTCGGAATGTGCCAAAAAGCTTGCGATATAATTCGACGAATGAATCGGAATACGCAGGCTAAAATGCCTGGCAGCGAGTAGCGAGCGCTCTCCGCGCTGTTTCCACGTACAAGGCCGGGTAGCCGTTTCGAAAAAATTTCATTTGTCGAGTACTCGTGGAAGAAATATACCGGGTACCCGGGCAGTAAGGTTCCCTTTGTTCGAATAATTAACAGAGGTGGCGTGCGCAGCAGCGACGACAAAGTCACACCCGGTATTACGTGATCGTGCATTTATATAACACCTACATTATCCTTGCATTATATGGTTAGCAGTGGTGACAGCACAGAGAAAGTTCCTAACCGTTCCCATATGCTCAAGTGCCTGTACCGGTCTACGCTCCACGCCAGAACTGCGTCTCGATTATGTTCTATACGATTCGATATCGAGTGCTCCGCCAATACACCTCTGTTCAAATTTTCAACACCCACCCCGCTGTGTGGCTACGATATCGAGCTGGCATCGAATCGCTTTTGCGAAATTCTTGCATAAAATTAATTACGAATATTCCTGTTTGTTACAGTAGCGCCAATATGCGGGAGAAAAGGTGGCTTCTGCTCGCTCTGTATGGTAAGTAAAACGTATCGCAGTTTTTAGCCCGACAAATTTCGATTCGCCCCGGTATCGCTGCCATTTAATCAACGTTTAGACCTAAACGAGGACGATGCTCGATGTCTAACCGGTAATTTAAATTCTCCATCGTATTTCGATGGAAGTAAAAGTCCTGCCGGCGACGGTTGCGCCGTGACAGAGTGCCCTTAGTATTTTTGGACTTTCCTTATCCGGAGAGGAATGC